TCGGACCTTGTTCGGCTTGGAACTCGGAACCGAGTCGGTTGGTCGGAAACAAGTAGGATTCACATATATGCTGTGCATTCCTTGATAAGTTTATGGACAACCTTGGAGCGATCAAGCGCAACTAATTACAATCATGATCATTACTCATTACATTTTATTTCAAATTGGTAGACAATTTATAAAAAATAAAGCCACATATGTACAATATGTACAAATATGTACAAATTCAAATACAAATAATAGTTTCCAGCTCAATTGAGCACTTGGAGCAATCTTTAACAGCTCAAATGTGCTACATAACCATGTAGCACTTAGAGCATGCGCATTCTTTAAACAGAATATTGAAAAAAAAGAACATGTTAAAAGTTAGGTTTTATCATCTGACTCTTCACCGGACTCTTCACCTGACCCTGAACCTGACCCTGAACCTGACCCTGAACCTGACTCTTCACCTGACTCTTCACCTGACTCTTCACCTGACTCTATTCGCTCTACCACTACTACCTTTACTTTATTCTTCTTCTTTGTTCCCCTCCGCCGCACTTCACCTGGCTGTGTTGTCAGAAAATTTTGAATTTTTTCGGGTGATCCCTCCACTTGATCGTCCCAATACATTGCCCGCAGTATGCCTGAACAGAAGAGTAACATTTTTACATACTTTTTTCAGTTAAAATGATAGGATTCATTACAGCAGGAATTCATCAATTTGTCAATTATTACTTGATCAACGAATATACTATCAAATTGTCAGTGATGTAAAAAGGAAGTAAACCCTAACAATTACTGAGGAAGGGCAGAAAATCAACGGGATGAGTGTGTACATTAGAAAAAATATCTACTACCACTTACATCTCATGGCTTTAACTAGTGTGGGGTTCATGACTTTTATTGCTATGGAAACTCCATCTCTAGTGAACTTCCGAGCCCCCTTTTTTGTCAAGCTGTAATACATCATACTCTTCTCTGGTTCGTTGTATGCCTTAGCCAGTAGCTCAAAGAGGGCCTCTCCCCTCTTTGTGAGATACTTGTTTTCCTCTTCTATTGCCAAGACGTCCTGTCTTGTGACAACGCAACCACACCCTACATAGATCTGAAGACAAATCATAAAGTTTAGTGATAATGACCAGTACAGTCATATGATTGAAGAAATAAGAGTGTGGTACCTTGTCAGCTGGAATTTCGAGATGAGTCCATTCCTCCTCAAGTGGGACCGCAGTCTTAAGGTTAATAATGGCACTATTTGAAGAGGCTGCACTCCACCCTTGGCAAATTTTTACTGGAAAAAATGAGTGATATCATTAGCATTATTGGACAAATGTAAGTTTTAGGGTAAATAGAATAAATGAACAGTTTACTAGTAAAGAGGGGACCAAAAAGCTCTATGTACCTGATATTTGGGAAACCTTGTCGTCTAGTTTTTGGATGGCGTCCATATCAGCAGTTTGATCCTAATACAATTAAAATTTAAGTCAATTTGTGGGGAAACCAATTCAAAATCAATTCAGAAATCAATCTATTCAAAATCAATTCAAGGAAATTTATGCTGATTAAGTAAAAGAAATCTCAATGATTCAGCCCAATTCAAATTCAATTCATGAAATTTGCACATCCAATCTAAAAGTTATTTCCCAAACTGAAGGTGCAGATAACTTACAGTCTGAGTGCCAATGCTCCTAGTGCTGACTGCAATGACTCTGTTAGCTGGCTCCTCGTTGGGTTGTGGGGAGACTTCACCGGGCTTGGTGAAGTTTGGTTCTGAGGAGACTTCATCAGGCTTGGTTAAGTTTGGTTCTGAGGAGACTTCATCAGGCTTGGTTAAGTTTGAACCTGAAGGAACCTGCTGAACAATAAAAGAAAGTTAGAGAGTGCATCGAAGGAAAGGACTACAAAAGAAGTTGATGACAGATCATCAACATGAATAGATGACGATCTAAGATACCTGATTAGGGTCCTGATTCTCCTTGTTCAACGTAGGAGGTACAACCCCCTGTGTCTTTAGACGTTTCAGAATTTGGCCCGATTCTTTGTTCACAGAACTGAATACCTTTCTTTTCTGAAAAGTGAGGGAGGGATTAGAGGCTGCACTAAAAGTAACAAGACATCACCAACAATAATTCTGTTAAAATAATAAACATGACTGACCTTTTTCTTGGCAGCCTTCTCAGTTTCCAAATACATAGATGCTTCTGTCTCTTCAAAGTTTAGGAAATACGCGATAGGGATGCTGGGGTCTGAAATGCTCTTTCGAGATGGAGCTGTGTCACGGCCTGGTTTGGAGAGCCTCTTCAGACACCTCTCTCTGTCTCCTTCAACAGACAAGATAAAATTCACCACAAATGAGCACATAACCAAAGCAGTATAACAATAGACGGTTTCGGATGTGCCTATTTAGAGAAGAGTTAAGGAAATTACCACCAGAACCAGTTCACAAAACAGAGAAATGAACACCAGAAATGAACATTTATTGACAGTTACCAGGGAGATACTACCCTGATGGATTGAAGGATAGTTGTGGATTGTCCATAAGCGATCCCTTGACAATCCACGCAGTCAGCGGAAATCCAAAGTCGATCCCTTGACAATCCCGATGTTGGCACGAATCCACAATCGATCCCTTGACAGTCCATGTTGGAATCCGAACTTGCTCCATTACCAATCCGAGCTCTAGAAATCCTAAATCTATCCTATGGCAATCCTTGGAAGACTCCGAACTTGATCCGTCAGCTATCCACGGCGCCGGGATCCGAAATACATCCGTCGGCAATCCATGGGCACCAATCCGAACTTGATCCGTCGGCTATCCACGGCGTGGGATCCGAAATGCATCCATTGGCAATCCATGCGCACCAATCCGAACTTGATCCGTCGGCTATCCACGGCGTCGGGATCCGAAATGCATCCATTGGCAATCCATGCCCACCAATCCAGAACGCTTACAAGTGTTGAACAGTTAAACACTTGAACAGTTGAGTTTACAGTGAATTGTTAACACATGCCTTTTGAATAAGTGCATGGATTGTCAAGGATCAACTGTGGATTATGGATTGGCAGTGGATCGGTGTCGAACACACCGGAACGCTTACAAGTGTTCAACAGTTGAACACTTGAACACTTCATTTTTAAGTGAAATTTCAACAAATGCACTTTGAATAAGTGCATGGATTGCCGAGGATCAACTATGGATTATGGATTCCCAAAGGATCAACTATGGATTATGGATTGCCAAGGGATCGATGCCGGACACTCCGGAACGCTTAGAATGGCACGAAGCTCCAGCACAGGCTACTTAGGTATGGCTCCGTGGTCTAGGGGATAAGTGAAGGAAACTCTAAAGCAAAGTCCGAGGTTCGAATACGCGTAAAAGTAAGGTAAAAATGTCATGGATGGACGGTGGATGGGATTCGGATTTCGAAATCAAAAAATGCCGGAGGAGCGCGGAGGATAAATTATGGATTCCGAAAACTTCGGATGCCAAGGGGATTGACTATGGATCCACCAATGGATTGTTCATGGATCACATATGGACGTCCATATGGAATCCGAAATTGAAACAAATCGGATTCCACATGGATCCATACCACAAGAAATCCTTCCATCCTCCCCAGATCCATCAGGGTAAAGGTTATGTCAAACTGCAATGTCAGCAAACATTTTGAACATGGTTCTAGTCGTGCTTTGCTTTCTTATCGAAACGAGTACAGGCGGAACCGTCTACATCAGTAAGGCGCAACTTCACTCAAGGGAAACATAACCTGCAGAATTCCGAAACAGTAGAACTGAACTTACCGAAAAGGCGCATGACATACGTCTTGTACATGAACTCGCCTTCAATAATTCCATATTCTGTCTTCACACGTTTTTTCTTCTCTTTTTGTATTCTGTCTTCAAATTCCTCGACAGTCTTCGGCCGAAAATCCGTCTTCTTCCACTGCTTCGGCCCCATCTCCTGTATCTCCCACAACGACGCTGCACTGACACATTTCTTTGCCCCCGACTTCAAACACTTAACAGTAGCCCACAATTCATCCCAATCTTCACAGTGTTCATCCACCATACTGACAGATAATGCAACAACAAATTCGCCCGAGCACGAAAACTGACGTCTGACTCTCCATCTCGCCCGAAGCTGATTTTGACAGCACACAAAGCACTACGTGATTCAAGACCCGAGCCGATCAAAAGCAAACTATTTTCACAAAACGAACATTTACACAAAATAAATAAAGTTTACAGCACAAATAAATCAAATAACCACGAACAAACACATCTGTTTCAAAATAATAGGTTTCCTTCGTTGGATTTTGTGTAACTTATGTATGCAGCATGACACAAGTAGTATCCCGGACGGTGAAGTTGCTCTCAAAGCCAACAGGTCAAGAAGAAGTCACGAAGAATAAAACCAAACAATGCTTGTTGCTGACTTCGGCATTTCAGTTCTGTAGTTTATTTAGTTAGTTCAGTTCCACGGTATCGCTGCGTCGTCTCTTGATCACGATGAATTCTCTGCCCAACTCTACGTCATCTAAACGGCGGAGACAGAGAGAGCTGTTTAGGCTAGCCGTCGTGAGTATCTACTCGAGAGAACGGCGGTAAAGCCGGCCGGTAACCTGTACTATTGTCCCGGACATCTAGAAACATTTAAATTTTCCAGCTTGAGGCCCGTAAGAACCACGTTGTAGAAGACGTCACTTCCATGGACACGCCTGCCCCACGCACTCCTTGCGTTACTGATGACTTTTCCTCATGTTTGGATTGCCCCACTGGAATGCTAACTGATGAGGAACCAGACGATTTTGACTGTCAGCAGCAGCCGTGTGAGTCCTTAGAAAAGGTATGTTGGTTTTGTTGCTCTCAATGCGTGAAAAGCTTCGGTTGGTTGGTGTTAACATATACTCCTCTTGGTCTGTGCAGCCTTCTCCAACTGATGATTCCACTCAATACATGTCGTGTGCTGATAGTTCAACCAGTATGTCTTCTCGTGATGGCATTGATTCTTCTAACTCAGGGCATTCTTCCCCATCCTTGTCAAAGGTAAGTTTGTTTTTCTCATTGCTCAAAAGCTTTGGTTGATTGACATTGTTCCTTGCTTTCACTGGTTTCTGTCTCTTGTGGACATCTACTCTTCGTTGTAATGGTAATTGAGATTTTAATTTTCATTATTTTTCCAGTCTTTCGATATGGATATGTCTAGCTGCGAAGAAGATTCAGATTATGAGGCCCATTATCTGGAAGAAGAGGATGATTTGCAGCCTCAAGAGCAGCCCGATGTGCTGCCTGAAGATCCAGATGGCCCTCCGGGTCCCGAAGATCCTGAGGATGACCCTGATGATCCAGACCAGCATTTAACCGACGATGAAGACAGCTCAGACGATGACACCTTCTCATTTGACCGAGCAGCTCTGGATGCACCAGTAAGAGTGGGCCGCGTAAGGACGAAGAGGGAGGTATTGCTTATGAAGCTTGCCAATGCACTAAAAGACCGAAGAACTTATGACAGTTTAATTAGAGACTTCAAAGGCTTTAACATGAGTATTGGAAGACCTAATTATCTGCCTGAATGTAAGAAAACCCTTTGGAGTTTATTAGGAAGAAAGGATGCTGGTGTCACAAAGTGGGGATATGGCCCTGATTGCCTTCACTTTCTGGGTCGGTACCGGAGGCTACATGGACCTATCATACAATGTCCAACTTGTGAGGAACAAATCCCTTTTGCAAATGTGAAGTGGTTCATCAGCCTGAGTTTAAAGAAACAATTTGAGAATTTTCTTGCACTTCCTGGTGTGGCTCATCTTCTGCGGTACAGGGAATGGAGAGTGAAGGGAAGAGAAGATGCAGTAGAAGATATTTTGGATGGTGAACTTTATCAAGAACTTCAAAGAAATGGAGTGATTGGTCAGATGGATTTTACATATTCTTTTAATTCAGATGGCTTCAGGAAATTTAAGCATCAGTCTCTCCATGCCTGGGGTCTCCTTGTTCGACTGAATGAACTCCCTCCCAATTTAAGACAGCGTAACCTGTTTCTTGCTGGTATCTGGATTGATAAAGCAGAACCCAATATGAATACGTTCTTGAGACCATTTGTTCATCAAGCCAACAGTCTTTCCCAAAATGGAGTAATGTGGAGGCCAAATGATGTAGAAGTAAACAGCAAGATCATACCACTAGCATGCTGCGTGGATGCTAAAGCTAGGGCAATTATAATGAACCAACACCAGTACAACGGTGAGTGGGGGTGCTACTGTTGCAACCATCATGGTATCTTCTTAGATGGATCCATGAAGTATCCCTTGCTTCCCTTTCAAGATCTGCCCGAGGCTGAAGATAGGACCCACAACAGCATCCACGCAGCAATGCTAAGAGGATATTTCTTTGAAGGACAGAAAGGAGCTTCAGAAATAATTCATCTCAACCATTTTAACATGGCATCCGGAAACGGAATGGATGATTTACATCCTTTTTATGAAGGGGTAGCAAAGTTTTATTTTGATCTCCTTGTAAGTGATGTTTTGAGGCGTAATGCTGCACCTGCTTTGAGAACTATGAACCTGAGAATGAATGGAGTTCGGACACCTACCCAAATGTCTAGGAAATGGGATACCATCTACAATACTGACAAGTGGAAAGGTTCTCAGTGGGGTTACTTCATCCGATATTTTGCTGTAGTTCTGTCAGTTAACAACAGGCTGCCTCAAGAACATTTTGATCATTTGTCAATGCTCTCATACAGTCTCTTCATACTCTCTCAAGATTCCATCCTCGAAGAGGAATTCATCAGAGCGGAGAACTATCTGGAAAGGTTTTTGGTGTACTTCCAAAATAGCTTTGGTGCTGGGAACATGAGGTTCAATGTTCACATGCTCAAACATGTAGTGAGGTCCCGTAGGCTCTTAGGCCCTGCCTGGACAATAAGCACATTCAATTTTGAAAGCTGGAACATGGTCATTGGAGCTCTTGTCACTGCTGCAAATGGTGCCTCTGAACAAATTGTGATCCGACACATGATGAAATCATACGTTCATGCTGGTGTTTGCAGAAATGATGTAGCCGATGAAGTTAAGAATTATGTTAACTCAGTGCTGTTTGGATGCCCACGTAAGATCGCAGAAGAAATCAACAGGGATACTGTAGTACTGGGTCACCCATCTCAAGTTCTATTAGCAGAAGATGAAGTTGCTCTATTAACAGCCAAAGGATTTAGAAATGTCAACCGCGTCACTGTATTTGACAGGGTGCTGGTGCGTGGCATTGAGTACAGATGCAGCACATATCACCCAGACACCAAGTCAGACAATAGTCTGGTTAAAACGTGGGATGGTGCTTTCCTAACAATCAATAAAATTGCTGTGTTTGATGGTGAGGATGGGAGAGTTTGTGGGCTGTTTGTCACTTGTCATGGAACTGACTATCCTATTGGATTTGCCCACCATGTTGCACACTTCACAGGTGTTGACAGACCAGACTTTGTCTTGGCAAACGTTTTAAGAGTTCCTGCAATGAAGTTTGAAGTGCGTGAAAGTTGGTATGTGGTCCCTATGGCAAGTTGTAGGGAGATAGATTAGAGCTCTTCAAGACTGTGCTCTCCTGGCTGTGTTAATTTTACATTTTATTTAGGTGATTATGTTTCTAGTCTTACAAACTTGTTGACCAATGTACTGACTGTACAGGTAATTTCAATTGCTCTGTTATTAATTTTCATTTTAATTAGGTGTAGATTATGTTTCTAGTCTTACAAACTTGTTGACCAATGTACTGATTGTACAGGTAATTTCAATTGCTCTGTTATTAATTTTCATTTTATTTAGGTGTAGATTATGTTTCTAGTCTTACAAACTTGTTGACCAATGTACTGATTGTACAGGTAATTTCAATTGCTCTGTTATTAATTTTCATTTTATTTAGGTGTAGATTATGTTTCTAGTCTTACAAACTAGTAGACCGATGTACTGATTGTACAAGTAATTTCAATTGCAGTGTTTCTTATCAATATCTTTTTACCATCGTTTGTACGCATAACCACATGCATCTGGTATGTACTGATTGTACTGGCAATTTTACGCAGTACCACAATTGTGATAAAATTATTTCTAAGTGAATTTCATTTGTATTAACATGTAATTAATGCATGACAAGGTGCAATCCTTTGTAACAGAAAAAAATGAATAATTAAAGAATCACTTGTTTTAATTAAATCTTTTTCATTGACACTTGATATAAGAATATTTGGAGAGGCTGTCACTGATGCACACTCAGCTTCGACGGAAATTTTGGCTGGGATAGTATACACCTGAAAGCAAGATGAAAGTTATGTTGAATATCTTGGCAGGGCCAGCTGAATGTAAGACTTCTAGGTCTGCCCTACCACACCATAGCACGAAATCTTTACCTTGTCTGGACGTGCTGGTCGCCCGGCTTGGCTCCCAACCCCACCTCATCCTTTCATACATTGCTATTTTTCTCTGCAGCATGCGCACAATATGAGTGAGCCGCTCAATTTCCTCCTGAAAACACCCAGTTATGGTTAAAATGAATCAACCAAATAACATGTCGTCTGTCAGAAATGTGGGCCTTCCCGTTAAAAAGACCACCAAGACTCACCTCTAGAAAAGAGCAGCAGGCCTGGTCTTCCATATTAGACCCACCAGGATTGCGTGCCGCCATGATTTAAAAAGATATATAATATTACTGTCACACTAAGTCTTCGTTGCGCAGGTTTTTGTATCGCAGTCGCCAAGGCACCAAAGGCGCACTTTCGACAATAATGAGTTTCGCGCGATTATTCGAACCAGGGGGGGGGGGGGGGGTCGACAGGGTCGACAGTCTGGCCCACAGAACGTCCGGCCAGTTTCCGACACAATATCAAGTTCCAAATAAAATCCGGCTTCCGACTCTCCGAGAACCATGGTAATTCCGACTTCCGACATGAGTCCGACCTACCGAACACCAGGATGTTTCCTAGTTCCGACTAATTTCCGAACACCCTACTCCCCGAGCTCCCGAGATATTACCAAGTTCCAAATTAAATCCGACTTCCAAAGCTTTCCGACATTAGTCCGACCTATCGAATATCCGAACTCCGAGATTATTCCTAGTTCCGGCTACTTTCCGAATACCCAACTCCCCGAGCTCCCGATACATTCCCAAGTTCCAAATAAAAACCGGCTTCCGACCAGCCGAATACCATGATAATTCCGACTTCCGACATAAGTCCGACTTATCGAACACCCGACTTCCAAGTTAGTTCCAGGCTCCGACATTTTTCCGAACGTCCGAATTCCCGAGTCCCGAGACAACTCCAAATTGCCGAGCTAATTCCGTTCACGTTCCGACCGATATCCGAGAGGCCGAACACATTCCAAAAAAAATCCGATATAAATCCGAGGGATCTAAACTCGGAGAGGTGCGCCAGGGAGGTTCTCCATGGAGTTGCCAACCCTCACATGCGAATCCACAATATCGAAAATTTCGCTGATATTCCGAAGATGCAAAAATAACTTCAAATTATACAACCTGCTTTCCGATTTGAACCTAAAATTGCGACTGGAGGTTTGTTGTGCGATGTGGGTTCACTTCTTGATGACTGCAAATAGTTTCTCGTGTTGGCAAACACTACGGCTATTCGCAGCACGTAAGTGATATGTGTGTGTGTGTATACTTTGCTGTATATGTGTGAATGTGTATGTGAGGGAGAGTAAGTTGAAGTTGCGGTGTCAGCGTGTCGGACGACATCTCTCCAACCCGACGCCAAATCACCTGAGTCACCGTTTACCCGGCCAGGCAATCATTTCGTGTCCATTCCAGGACAGCTAGCAGAAATGGAGGTAAACCCGGGTCAGGTCCAAATTCACGCGAGCCTTTAGGTCTAACAAATCATTTTATTGTTTGCTACGATTATGTTTCAGATCGAAGTTTTATCTACTAGTGGCAAGTCCGTTGCGGTTCTCAGCAATGTAAGTTTAGTTTGGCAGACACTTATAGCCGTTCTCGGATAATTATGTCCATCTTTACACCTCTATCCCAGATCTGGAAGTTTTGTTGTGCAGCTTTAAACTGTTATCATCAAGCTGTATTATAGTTTTCTTCAATGTGATTTTATTTGACCAGTCATCCCCTCTTTGGAGTAGTTAAACTTTTCTTTAAAGATGAAATAATCCTGTAGTAACGTACTTTCACCTCATTTTAAGGTGCACTTTGTTGTAATGCATATATCAGTTTCGTATACCTGTTTAATTAAAGGTACGTTTTAGACTCCAGAAGAACTAAGCTGAATAAGCGAACTGTCTTAAAAGATACCTGAAAAAGGGATATGGTGTGCTTTCGCTTTGACCCTAGCGATTCTAAATCCACCAAAAGCGGGTTTAATTCGTGCTGCAGAGTAAAATCTATCATTATTTTTCTTCACGAGTTTTTGTTCCTCAGAGAGTGAAGTGAAGAGACAGTCACTCTTACTAATTCAAGTTACAAAAACTGTTGTAGAATTGTCCATCCAACTTAAAATTATAACTTTAAATTAGAAATATTTTGTAAAACTGAGGTCAAACTTGTTTCACTAGCTGCTATTTTAAAACAAGTCCAGAATCACAGAGCAAGTCATGTTTATTCATTATTAACACAACATGCTGACTCTTATCAGATGCAAATCATGTGAAACCATTTAAGAATTTCCTTTAAGTATTTCCTGTCCAAACAAGCTTATTTCATTATTTCTGTGTACTGTTCTATGCATTTTCCCTTTGAGATAATGTGATGTTGTACCTGGTGTTACAGGTGAACCCAACAATGACTGTTGCTGAGATCAAAAAGGAAGTCCAGAAACAAAAAGGCATGAGTATTCATAGGCAGTCAATCAGACTTGAAGCAAAGGGTCAATCTCTTAAAGATGAAGATTCAGTCAAAACCTTGGAACTTCGTAATGGCGCAAAGGTTAGACCTTTATAATTCTCAGTACCCTACCTAAAAAAGTAGAATGCCCTACTTACTTATGATAATTTCTATTTTCAGATTTATGTCAGGGACTTGGGTCCTCAGATTGGATGGAAGACTGTTTTCCTGGCAGAATACGCAGGACCCTTGGTAGTTTACCTGTGGATTTACCAAAGACCTTGGCTGTTTTATGGAGATGCAGGGAAAGTGGCTCCAATGGCTCAAGTGGTGCAGTAAGTGTACTCAGTAGTGTGTACATTTCTACTTTCCTTAAATTCTGCAACTTACAGCATTTTTTTTTTTTCAATTTTTTTTTTGTAGTATTGCAGCAATTTGTTATGCCATCCATTACGTAAAGAGGCTGCTGGAAACTATATTTGTTCACCGATTCTCTAAGGCTACCATGCCTTTCTTCAATCTGTTCAAGAACTGCAGCTACTACTGGCTATTTACAGCTTATGTTGCCTATCATGTAAACCATCCCAAGTTCACAGCTCCTTCAGCTGCTTGGATTTATGGAGGTCTTGCCTTATTTGCGGTTGGTTTCCAAAAATTAAAATGAAGAATTGTGTACACAATCTTTTTTAAGTAGACAATAACAATATCTGTCTTATTTTAGATTTCAGAGTTGGGTAATCTGAGCATTCATGTAGCTCTCCGTAATTTGCGCCCCCCTGGTACCAAAGTTCGTCGCATTCCTGTGCCTACTGGAAATCCATTCACTCTCTTATTCAATTTTGTGTCATGCCCAAATTACACTTATGAGTTTGGGAGCTGGTTGGGATTCACCATCATGACATCTTGCATACCAGGTATGTCATATTCTTCAACCATGGGAACTACATAAACTATTTATTACTTTAATTATAAATTTTTTGCTTACAGCTGGTCTCTTTGCTCTTGCTGGCATGTACCAAATGTCCATCTGGGCACTAGGAAAACACAAGGCCTACAAGAAGGAATTCCCCAATTATCCAAAGAGTCGCAAAGCTATTCTCCCATTCGTCCTTTAAAACATCTAACTTGTAATTTTTTTAAAGTCAATTTCATCATTATCATGAAGTAATTAGTGTAATGTTTTTTCTTTTTTCCTGTGATCAAAACTCATTTTTTAAAAACATCAAATGTTTCCATACTTTAAATTAAGTACAAATGAGGCTTTCTTTTAAACCATTCTTGAAAGTGGGTAGTTGAAGGTGTAGGATACTTAATCTTTACCAAAAATCTTTAGATGTGAAATCTTTGTAGATGTCTTTATGTGACATTCCATTCGCCTCCAAAAGTAATTAAGTTTACTTATACTTTTTAAACTCCATGTCTTACCTTACATATATTCTCTCTTAACAAGGTAATTAAAAAAAAGAAGAAAAAAATAAAATTCCCAAAGGATATCTTTTTTTGTTCTATTTTACTGAATGGTAGTAGAATCTCTGTAACAAATACATGTACAGTGCTAGGGGTTATGTATTAGTACAAATGAAGTGATAAGACTTATCAAGAACAACTTGCCTTATGTTGCTGTAAGGGTAATTTTTATATGCTCAATTATTTTTAAAGTAATGGTCTTGGTTTGTGTTTGTGTGATCAATTCTTGTTGATGTGTATGGTGTCTGACGATTAAATTCTGGTGAATGTTATTACCAGCTTTCTCAATCTTTGACAGTTTTAAATAACTGCCCTTGGATACACCTCTATTTTGAAACTTACAATACACTTACAGTAAGTCTATTTTGTATGCATAATTAATCTGTCGAGACTTCTGTCTTCACTTCACTCTTCTTTTGAGAAAACTGAATCCGCTTATTATCACGAATTTTTTTGTCTTGCAGGTAGGCTTCTTTCTCTGATTTACTCAATTTGAAAATCAAGCGATCCACCTCTTCTTGTAAAACCACCATCTTTTTCTCCATTTCCTAACACACAGAAGAGGTAAGTGTTAAAAAACAATTTAAAATGAGTACACAGAGACCTGCCTCAGATATATTGTATTCCTGCTTGAAGGAATTGGCAATTGCGTTTCCCAATTCATATTTGCTATGGAAAACAGCACATTTTTCTTGTTGCTGTCTCAAGGTATGCCGTACACTAGGTCGCTCTTGTGAATGAATTGCTTTAGAAGTATACCACAAATTTCGAAGCTGTATACTTACAGTAATTTTTTCTGAACCACTCTCCTCTCTTTCTTCACGTTCTCTCAATGCTTTCCTCAATTTTTCCTGGAGCTCTGACGCATTGAATACCCTTGAGCTACTTGTTGCTGATAGTCCCAGAAGCATTTCTAAATTCTGTAGTGCACTCTGAGATTTCTTGAGTGTATCACGCACAGAATTCAACTCTTCAATTAAATAAATATTTTCCTGTTGATGTATGAAATTTAATTAGGGGCATTGCAGCTCAAGCAAAAAAACAAAAACAAAAAAAAACTACAACTTCTTACTTCCATGATTCTGGCGTAATCTCCTTGTTTTGATAAACCACCTTTGTAAACTTGTCGTTTTAAGGAGGCAACAGTTCTCTCCAAGTGCTCCCGTTGACGCATAAATTCTGCTTGTGCATCTGTGTCTTGTGCTCTGCTTAGTAAGAGACTTGGATTGCCACTATACTTTTGATACAGCAGCTAAATTGATTGGAGTAATGTAGACTATCGAGAAATAAAAAGAAAAGGCAAATGAAACTGTACATCAGATGTCTTACTTTCATAGCTTCCCGGAGTTCTTTTGGAGATTGTATTAGGGAGGAAGTGTTATGAAGATCAACCCACAAACGTTTTAGTAAGCGATTTGTGTTAATATGAATGTTTTTTTCTGTCTGCAGTTCTGACTCTGTTCCAATAAGTTTTTCTCTCAATTCATTCATTTCTACCTTAATGCTTTCACTATTTCTCTGAAGCCTTTCTAGCTCTTGCTCCATCTGAAAAAAGAGGAAAAGTAATCTTGCAAGACTAGCAGAGGAAGTAGGAAAGTGTTATCAATCAACTTACATCTTGAATCTGCTCTTTTTTCTCTTTGATTTCTAAATCTTTCGGTTCAATTTCACTCTTTAATTCTGTAATTTTATAATTTAGCACAAACTTAAATTTATCAAGCTCCTGATTTGCCTTCTTTAGATCAAAAATGTTCTTCTCTTTTAGTTGAATTGTAGAATCCCTTTCAACCACTTCCTTCTTTAGATCCAGTACATCCCTATCCAATGAATGAACAGCATGTTGGTATTGTTGTTGTTCCCCTTGAAGTTGTGACACTTGGTGTTTCAACTCATCTACCTCTTTCTGTGACCTGTAAATTGGGAAGTTCTAGACTGACATTTTTCAGCAAGAGCCCACAGTATAGATAGATAACAAGATAAGATGACATAAACACTTGTTACCCGACTAATTTTTTCTTCATGACACCTGCTTCTCCTCTTAGGCGAACATTATTGTCTCTCTCTTCTCGCAGTTGACTTTCATACATTGCTTTCAGTGTGACGATTTCTCTATCAGCATCGTCCTCAATCTGTTGCTTTATATCCTCATGCTCAATCCTTTCTTGATCTAACTGTTTTCTCAACTGAAGGAAAATTGAATTAGACAGCGAATCATACATATCATGTGGTGACTAATTGAAAATTACCTGCTCTTGCTCAGCCTCTTTTACTCTCAACTGATTCTCATAATGTTCAGCCTGCTCAGAGAGTGCCTTTTCTTTAGATGCTTGCAATTCCTCCAAACGTCTGAATACAAATAAGGGATGTGTAAATATATTTCTAGTTTGTCATTACTTTTAGACTTTTATTTTTTCCTGATTATTTACCTTTCATAATCCTCTCTCATTTTTGTACTTCGTGTATCTAAGGCGGTATACTTGTCATATTCAAGTATCAGTTTACCATAGTAGTTTGTTTCCAGAGCTTGCATAGCTTGTTCATGGGATACTTTCATCTCTGATATATCTGTTTGTGTTTTGTTCATTTCCAAAATGTGATCAGCTTCTAAGTTCTGAAATCAAGTAGCCTTATAGAAATGTATGGACTGTTAACATGAAAAATAGGTTAATATAAAATCATAATTCAGATAGAAAGGTGGACCTCATTTTTGACTTTAAGCTCTTCAACAACACCACGATAACTGTCATTTAGCTCTCTCATTTTATCTTCATACTCTGTTTCCATCTTACGAGTATTGTAGGCATGCTCAGTTTCTAACTCATTTAATCGTACTTGTTGATCTTTTATTGTTAGTATTTTTTCCTGAGAAAAATTCATGGCAGACATTAATTTATTTTCTAAAAGAAAAGATCTAAAATAGAAAGACAGAAACCACTGCTTTTACCTCTAACTCGTTTCTACTGATAAGAATCTCCTTGGAGTGTGAGAAGTCTTTATCCATCTGGACAGTTTTACCCTCTGTGTTTGTTAGATTCCAAATACATACCGAGCCATCTTTTGCAATGGATAGAAGTACTTTGTCATCATATGTGAGTCGCATCTGTGTAAATTTAAAGACATTTAGATCAGAGTAAATAAAAATTCTACTTAGATCTTATTAGTGATCATGTAAACTTACATAAGTCACATCTCCATAATGTACATGATATTCAGTGTAAATTGCAGGATCTGTTAGAGGGTACTTTACAGAGTAAATAGCTCCATTCATTCCAGCTGTAAATAGCATGAGGTTTGATCGGGACAAAACAACAGCATCTAATTTTATGGCATCCATTTTCTTATCACCCACAATAACTTCTCGCACAATCTGAAAAAATATAAAAAATTATTCAGTAACAAGAACTTGTTTTCAGATAAGTTATACATGCTAAACAAAATGTGCACCTGAGAGGCTGTCATCTCCTTGATGTATCCATCACTACCAACACTATATATGGTTTTTCCATCAGTAGTTACACATATATCCGAGTAACTGCAGGATTTTGTGATAACTTCCCCCACTCGAGTACCAGTTGACACATCCCACTCATAAACGGCTCCTTCTAGTCCACAAGACACTACTTTTAAATCTTGTGGTGTCCAAACCATCCTTTTTATCTAAAAAAAATATACATATACATTTTTTATTTATTTTTATCAGTTTTTGTAAGTTTAAATTTGGTTTTAAAGAAAAATATTAGTATTACTTCACCAAAGTGCCCTTTCAGATTGTACATATTTTCAAAGGTGATTGTAGAAAATATCTGAATAATATTTCCATTTGCTGCAGCAAACATGTGCCCATTGTTACTATAGCTACATGTATTGCAATTTCGAATTGGGAATTCTCTCATTTCTTGCAGATCATCAATGAGAACAGTCATATAACGCAATTTGTCACAAAAACCCAGAACAGCGTAAAGCCCTGAATGTAAACAATTTAGTTTAATAAATTACTTTTGTAGGCTTTTAAGTTGATAAATATTCTCTAACTGTCTAGTACCTGTGGGATGTAAAGCTATGCAAAATACATCCTCTGCATATTGCTTTATTAGATCCTGAGTTTCAGTTTCATAATTCCATAAACGTACAGTTTTGTCTTCCTGACCCACAGTCATAAATATTGGCTTCCATGCACAAACTGCTAAACCTGACACGGGCCCATGGTGCAACTGCTGGCCCAACAACTTCATAGAAATCTTGGGAACCTAGAAAAAGCATACAAGATTGAGATATTTTTTTGTTGATTGTCAATATCTTAGGTAAAAAATGAGAGTCTTAAAAGGATGCATACCTGGCTGATATCAGGACCCCACAATTTTGTGGTGTACAGCTGACACCGATCAGTGGTAGCAATAAGCCGGTCTTGAGAAATATTCATGGAGAGATTTCGTACAGTATTTAGATTTTCAGAGTACATGTTGTCAAATTCTGATGTAGGTATTGCAAATACATTTCTTTTTCTGTAAATTTGATTGGGATCAACTTCAAATAAATGTATTAAACCTGTCCCAAGACTGAAGGCAAATCCTTTGTAAAATGATATTAGTCCACGTATTTCTGAATCAATGCTTGTTTGAGTGTCTGTTGATGTCAAACTAGTAGATGACTGCTGCCTACAAACAAACAAAAATATAATAGCCAGAAACAAAGTTTTCGATTGCCACTTTTGACATTCCATGTTATGTACTCACGCATCTATAGTTTTGGGATCAAGTTCTTTGATGTCAGCAGCTTTAAATACACCTTTTAATTCATTGTTTTCAACAAGAACAAGTCTACCATCTTTAGTACCAGCAAGAATTCTCTCTGGAGTCAAATATGCAACACAAGAAAGTTGTAATTGATCAGCCTTTTGCCAACCAAATTGGCGCCAAACTGTTTCAGTCACCATCATCAAACGAAATAGTCCTGGTCCAACAAGGACACAAGTAGTATTATCTGTGGGGTGGGCTGCAACCTAAAATCAGTCACCAGCTAAAGTACCACCATGATATTTTCGGTACAGAAAATAAATCAATTAGCAATAAACTGACCTGCGCCACAGTTCCAGTATTTCCTACAACAGTTGCTTTGCAAGTGCTTTCCATTTTCCCTTTTTCCCAGTTAAATGAATATAGAGACCAGTCTGGCGCACCAGTTACAGCCAGAACTCCCTTCCCATCATTTGTAAAAGTAAATGAAATAAATTCCTGTGCTTCAGTGTCTCCTGGTAATGAGAGAACCTTCTTCCGCTTGAGGGATTCTAAGTCATAGATAGTAATCAGTGGCTTCTCTCCTTGCTCAGTGATAGCTGCAATCTTTCTAAAAATGACAACAAAAATCAGAAACAATAATGTAGACATTGAAACAATATACATCCGATTGCAAATGTTACTTATCACCTGTTAGGACTGAGTACAATCTCCTTTATGACATGCTGATCTTTGCCATGCAGTTCTTTAGGATGTTGGTCCTTTACATGTGGTTCCTTCGGATGCAATTCTTTTGAATGCTGCTCTTTTCCATGTTGATCTATTAGTTTTATAAACTTTTGGTGTCTCTGAATGTGATTGTGGATTACAAGAACTGATCCAGCAGGGTACAGTATGTCATGGTCAGTCAAGAAGTAGGCATTCCCTTTCACTCCTGTCCTCAGGCCAAAAAAAGCCACAGGTTGAAGTCCAGGCAAAGACAATGTTAAATCACTTGCAGTCATCTTGAGAATAGGTTTCTGTTAAAAGAATGAGAAAAATGAATAATTAACAGTATTGTAACGAGATGTCTATAAATTTACCAATATGTATTTTTTTATTAATTAATAAAAGTACTTTAAAATACACAGTAAATAAAAAAAATAAGAGCAAGAGGCACCACTTTCTTAAAGGTTGTTTCCTACTATATGCATTACCTGTCACACAACAAATACCTTTACATCAACTGTTAGTTTTAAAAGTGAACTGATTTTTTGCAATTTGTATCCGAGCAACAAAGACTAGCAGACGATTCAAACATATGCAACTGAAAAAATTTCTCCCCTTAAATTTAACCAATTTGAAAGAAGGTCCTTTCCTGTACAAATGATGGGGAAAATTATTGGACAGTGTTTTTCAGTCGATGTTTGATCTTAGTTTAGGAGAATATTGTAAACATATCACGTACAAGTTTATTGTTTTTATTTCTTGCGTTGCTAAACCTGTAAATCAATAGTCGATCTCTCGTAACAGCACTTGCCTTGCCGGGGCCACACTGACAACATGCTGACAACAACAAACGTGGTATTTGGTATATTCGCTGTGACCACTTTGTTGTTAAATAGCGTATTTAACTTCAATGTCATTAACCGGAATGGAAGAGTCTGTATCATCTCAAGGAAGCACAGTTTCTAGCTATGTTTCCAATGACGACTTTGTCAACTGTTTGTACTGTGGGCAGAGAACTCCTGGATTCCGGGACGAAAGTTGTCTTAAGTGCAACGATTGTGACAGTTTTGTGCATTTCAATTGCTTGACTGAAAATGTCAGAATATCAGAATGTATTTTGTTGGGCGATGTCTTCTACAAGTTCATATGCAAATCCTGCAGCCCTTCCGGTCTGGAAATTGTGTCCAAAGAAAAATTGGCGTGGCTCACAGTTCTGGTTTTAGCTCTATACAATCTACAAGAATTACAGCATTTGAGTCGACACGGTTTTTTCCATTGGAAGCTGCACATAGCTGACTTCATTGATCGAAAGTGGAATTATATATTTGGCAGCGCAGTCCGCCGTAAAAGAGCATGGCATGGTACAGTGTCAGGAACGCTCTCTCACTACAGTCCAGCATTCTTTCAAACTGGCACACATGTACTAAGAGAATCCGGTTGGTGGAAGCTCACATATGAAAACATGTCCCCATTCAATACAATTCGTTTGAAGTACGGAGGTATAGGCAAGCGAAGTTCCACAAGAAGTACTCTCGATGAAGAAGCAAGTGAAGAGGATTTTAATCGACAAACCTCTTTCACTTCAAGTGACAGCCGGCCTCCCAGTGCCAGTGCTATTGATGTACCCTCAGATCTAAATTCCGAAATGTTAAGCTATTCCGACTCTGAAAGTTTGGATGTTGATATTGACATTCCCACTGATTTAGATAAAGTGGGTTTCCCAAAGTTAGAATCAGAACTCAGTGATCTTATTGATCAATATGTGACATCGGAAGGATCCTATTTGGTATCGCCCTCCAGCACCCGAACACTGGTAAAGAATGGACCTGGTGCGACTGGAAGTTATGGATCTGATAAGGATTCTGCTAGCTCAAGTGATTGTGATGAAGGGGAAACTCCAGTCCCTCCACCAAAAAGTTTATTCCAGTGCAGGAAAAACAGAGAATTACCATGGCTGAAAACTTGTGTTTCATTAGTCAACAATGCTGAGGGGTATTTTTTCTTTTTATTTAGTTTTATTGTTATGTGCTTTATATCAGTCTCACTTGACATAAAGAACTCTTACAGATTTCAGTGATAAAGTATTTAAATGTGTTTCAGATGTGTACCTATGACAGAATATGAAGAGTTGCATACACTGCAATTACTTTCTAAGAGAATTGAAATGAGTAGTGGATCAGTACCAAGTGTCATTTTACGGCTTCATAGAAAATTAAATGTGAGGAGAGAACAACGCCATAGGCGGCTTGGACACTTTACAGAAATTTCAGCTTCACTGAATGATGCCGACCTTTCGTCTTCACGTTTACATAAGTCAAGTAATATCCGCACTTTGGATAGATATCAGGTAAGATCTGTTGCAACTTATCATACCTTTCTGGAATGTGTGGTATGCAGATGTAGTTTTCCTAATTGAGGTTTCGTGTTTACAGGTAGTAACCCTCTCTGAGAATAGTTGTCACACTAAAAATAATCAGCAGTCGTTCATGTTGCGATTGCTTGGTCGGGTAGAGCCTACCTGCTTTGTTAGCCCCTTCACTGAAAGGTGAGTTGCACATTCAACTTATCAATTACCTCTAATTCACTACTGTAAGCATGTACTAATTTAAAACTGTAGACTTTTAAAGCCATTTATCAGAAGAGATTACCATAGTATACCTTTATGGACTCAACTCATGGCTGACATTCATCAAAAACATGGCACCCAGTACGAGCGCTTCCCAATTGATTATAGCTATGTACAACCACACCATATTCCAGCTATTAACAGTCTTTGTGAACTATTCTTCTGGCCAGGCATAGATTGTAAGATTTTGAAACTATTTATCTAGTGCAGTGTACATATTTTTCTACGCTTGGGCATATTTAAAATTTAACCATTTTATCTGCTTTCAGTGAGTGAGAGCTTAATGTACCCTGACTTCAGTTGTGTGGCATTGTACCGTAAGCTGGTTGTTGGATTTGCATTTATGGTACCAGATGTAAATTATAATGAGTCTTACATTTCCTTCCTATTCACTCGTCCTGAATGGCGCAGAGCAGGTATTGCTACATTCATGCTGTACCATCTCATTCAGGTTAGTATTATGTCGCAGACAAATTCTAATTAGAGTGCAAAATTTTTCAATCCTAATCCAATAAGTTCCTACCTTGCAGACTTGTATGGGAAAGGATATTACCCTTCATGTATCTGTCACCAACCCAGCTGTGATATTGTACCAGAAATTTGGTTTTAAGGTTGAAGAACTTGCTCAGGATTTCTATGACAAGTATCTGCCAATTGATTCAAAAGACTGTAAGCATGCTTTATTTTTAAGACTGAGTCGTTAAATGTTTCTATATTCAGTTGAAATGAATGATAGTTAAAGTTATCATTAAAGGAGATACAGTGAAAACACATGGGCTGGTATCAGAACTCATCATATTATCACCATTTTTCTACTCAAGCCAAATTGATATTTACATAACAGAAACATAAAAAGCAGCCATAAATGCCACTTCCTTCTCTAAGCATAAAATAGACAGGTAACATCCATCAACATTCTACAGATGAGGTGGGCACTCCTCAAACTGCTTTGTCAGCTTGCCATCACGGAACTGTCGTCTCCTCTCTTCTTGCATAATTTGAACACGGGTGCGCTGAAATACCAAACATACAAAAGGTAAGAATGACTGTCATGATCAGATGTTTTGACAACGGTCGCACATGGTTAAGTGAATCAATCACCTCAAAGTCCTTCATTTGGCATTCATGCAGATCCTGAATGTAACCGCCACACATCTTCATACCACGCATGTATCCATATTGCTCCATACAATTCAACATCATCAGCTCCATCTGAGCGCACATTTGAGGGCCCTCTTGGGCAGTAACAATGCCTGCGGTGAGGTCAGTTAGTGGAGTCTGCCATATAGGCCCAATTGTCATAGGCGAGAGTTGTTCTATAACACAAAACAGAAGTTGTCAAACAATAAGGCAGCACTCCTTCATTAATAGAACCTTTACTACAGCTGATAGTCCATGTCAGAAATTTCCTAACCTGGGCTAACTAAAATCATAAATACCATTAGTTTTAACAAATGTTACATGGTACTTACGAAAATATGAACCACGGGCGAACTTTATGGGGTTGTCTCTTTCAACGTTAGACTCCATTTTTGGTAAAAATTTCTAAGGAGAACTGTTATTAAAAGTCTGTTAACCACTGCACTGCCTTATCACCCAGAAAGGTTATTTATGCTTGAACCTGAGGGAAAATGGGAAAATAAGTACCATACAGATTCTCATACCAGAAAAGTCAATAGTCTCCCCAGTGTCATAAAGAAGAGAAGGGGGAGAGCGAAGAAGTGAGCGGCTTCAGTCAAAACAGTAAACACAACTTTTCGTTTTCGTTCACAAATCGTTTGAAATGGAAGAGATGGATTTAGGTGAAAGCACAACAGATGCGACGTCTGTTGAAAATACAGCACAGCTGCCTGCCAAAACGTCCGACGACTCAGCAGACAGCGACGACTCTGATGATGATTCTGACAGCTCCAGTAATGCAGATATGCCGGAGAAAGAAGAAGAGGTAATCTAACCTACTTATACTATTGTATTTTATATTTAAAAACACCTCATGCCTCATCTGAGCTCGTCATTTGCATTAGCCCTTCTCAGTTTCGTATGACACCACTCATAAGTTTTATTGCCAATTTGTTTTGTAAAATTATCGATGTTACCTGTGTATTTCTCTAGGTTGATTCTATACCAGCTCCTTTCGATTACAACGGGCATATTGAACGTATCAAACGGTTACGTGAAAGAGGAAATTTTGAACTGCTGCGAGAAGCTCGAGAAGCTATGAACACAACTTTCCCGTTATCACCAGGTATGTACATTTTAGTCCCTCTAAAAGAGAAACATTTTTTGTATCATAATACTCTACTATACTTTATATTTGTAGAGCTTTGGTTAAACTGGCTGGAAGATGAACGTCTGACTGACAAATCAACAAATCCTGAGGGAAGGGCTACTTTAGTTGCTTTATTTGATCGTGCTGTTGCAGACTACCTGTGTAAGTTTAAAATTTTCCTCTTTCTTATGTATTTGAATTTACATTCATTCATTCATTCAATCATTCATTCAATCAATCAATCATTCAATCATTCATTCAATCATTCATTCAATTATTCATTCTGTCAGATATATTAATCATTTTCATTTTGTCCATCCAGCGGTTGATATTTGGGTAGAATATGTCTACTTTACAATTGGGTACATGGGTGAACCTGATGGTAGTATAGAAAAAGTAAGGTCAGTCTTCGAACGAGGATTGATGGCAGCTGGGTTACATGTACCAAAAGGTGCTTTATTGTGGGAAGCATACAGGGAGTTTGAAGGTATTGTTTTATCTCCTCTGGTAAGTATTGATTGATTTATTTGCCTCTTAGTTAGTGAGGCATTGTACTACTTCCCAACTTTAAGTACGTAATTTACTTTAATGATTTAATGCTTGTGTCCTCAGATGGAGGGTTGTGATGGAGAAAATCCTGTTGTAGCAGACCAGCTCAAGAGAGTTGCAAATATATTCAAAAGACAACTTTCTGTGCCTCTTTTAAATATGGAAAAGACCTACACTTCTTTTGAAGAGTGGCTTGAAAGTCACAAAGCCATCTGGACAACTGCTAGTGGTAAACCAGAATCTGGACTCATAGAAATAAAGAATGTAGAGATGGCATATAAAAAAGCTATGGATAGACTTCACCAGATTCAACCCTATGAAGATGTTTTGGTAATCTTTTTTTTTTTGTTTTTTGTTTTTGTTTCTAAGAGTAAACAACTTTTTATTGTGATTTAAAATTTTTGAAATTGCAAATAATTTTTTTTTATTTCACAGAACACTAGTGAAGAAAGTATGAAAGTGACCCATTACAAAGAGTACCTTAAATTTGAACAGAGTTTGGGTGAGCCAGTTAGATTATTCTCTCTTTTTGAAAGAGCTTTATCAGATTGCCCCCTTGATGCTCCATTATGGCTTGGTTATATTGAATTTTCTGACGGCTTGGGGGACTATGGAAAAACCTTGCAACTTTGTAAAAGGGCTGTGCGCAACTGTCCATGGTATGCCTTGTTATGGCAACAATATTTACGCTGCATGGAGAAAAACTCTGAAACACCTGAGGCAATTAAAGGTAATCTTTTGCATTTTTCTCCACCGCCTTCAAATCAAATTATGGAGTCATGTACTTGACTTTATTTTGTGACTTGTCAATATCGTCTGTTTGTCCTATAACCATCTTTTTGCCTAACTATAAAATTAACAACATTATTCTCTGAGCTAGGTGTCTTTGAAGAAGCTCTGAAATCAGGAATACAAACTGCTGAAGATTTTCGCAACATTTGGCTTGAGTATAGTTGCTATCTACGCCGACGCATTGACTGGGGTTCAAAAGAAGAACTTCCATTGCTCACTGAGTTAAGGGAAACAGTTCAAGCAGCAACGGAACATCTTACACAAGGTACTTCATTCAGACTGATGTTATATTTAGTTATGGAGAGCACAGCATTATTTAATTATTTTACTTTTATTTTCCATCTAGTGTTTGGCGAACTTGGAGACCCATCCTGCCAGCTCTTACGTTTCATGGCCACTGTTGAAGCTGTTCAGAGCCGTAAAATGGAAGTGGCAAGGAAAATATGGAATGATATTTTGCATTTAGGTCACAAAAATTCAGCTTCAAGTTGGTTGCAATACATTCATTTGGAAACGTGAGTTGATTACTTTGATTTACTCACAGATTTAAAAACCTTAATATATTAAACTCTTGTAGCATGTCATTCTCACTTGCCTCACATTTTCCTACAGGGCCTATGGGGACTCTAAGCATCTTCGGAAACTATTTCCTAGAGCTTTGCAAGCTACTCGGGATTGGCCTGAGAGTATTGTGGAGGAATGGATGCAGTTTGAAAGGGTTGAGGGAACACTGGAATCATATGAAGATGCACTCTATAAATGTAGAATCAGGTAATTTGTAGCAACTTTACTCATTATTACGCATTTATTGCTTTAGACATTCATTGTGTATCAAGCTATTGATGGTATCTTTGCTCTCTCATAGGATGAAGCAAGTAACTGCGGAAAGAGAGAAAGCTGCCGCTGAAGAAGCAGGGAGTCAACAAGCTTCAAACACCAAGAAGGTACTTATCAATTTCAATTTATTTTCACATTTTATTTTAGATTTTTCTTTTTTACCTTTATGTAAATATCTATGCTTTTGGATTATCTTTAACTTTTTAAGGTGGAAAAGAAAAGAGAAAAAATTAAAACTGATAAAGGAGATGCCATATCAGAAGATAGACGTCCTTTATCTTTGAAACGAGCTGCCCCCATTGGAAATGAAACAAAATCAAGAGAACCAACCAGTGACCCAGTAAAAAGTTCATTTAAAAAGCCAAAGATAGGTATGGGTACCATTACAATTATTTTGTGTATTTGTGTATTTATTGAGTGTGATATTTACTCAACACATCAGTCTTATTATATTATATTCATGGACTTATAAAAAATGCATTTTTTGTTTAGAATCAATTGAAGATCTTGGTGTGGTAACAGAGCATGATCCATCCAAGGATAACAGAACCGTTTTTGTCAGCAATTTAGACTACTCAACTACAAATGAACAAATCAGAGATGTTTTTGAATCTGTTGGCACTATCACTGAACTACGCCTTGTAAAAGATTTTAAAGGAAGATCAAAAGGATTTTGTTACATTGTTTTCAGCTCATTTGTAAGTTCTGTTTTTAGTTCTTTGCTTAATCTATATATTAATTGTAACTAGACTTGTTTGTATAAGTTAGTCCTTTGTTTCTAGAATGAAATGAATGAGGCTCTCAAAAAAGACAGGGTGCCTATAGACGGGAGACCAATATTTGTTTCAAAGTGTGACCCAGATAAGCACACCCGTCAACATAGCTTTAAATATGCTACATCACTAGAGAAAAACAAACTGTTTGTCAAAGGTAATGGACTTCATTTTGGTTTCATCTGATCTAGATTACAATGGAAGACACATTATATTTATATTCTTTTCTATTTAGGACTGCCACTGTCAAGTACGAAGGAAGAGGTGGAAGAACTATTTGGACAGTATGGAAAGGTCAAAGATATCCGACTTGTTACTTATCGTAATGGTCATTTCAAAGGATTAGCATATGTTGATTATGAAGATGAGGTCAGTTTTATGAGAGAGATTACTTGCATTACTATGATTAGGAACTTATTCCTTTATTGATTTCTCTAGGTATCAGCCGCCCAGGCTATAATTAAAGTTGATGGAATGACCATAAAAGATAGAACAGTGTTTGTGGCATTGTCAAACCCACCAGACCGCAGAACTTCACTTTTATCTGAACACAATGAACCATCAACCTCCAAAGTTCAGTCTTTGGGAGGAGGATTAAAAGATATTGGACCGTAAGTAACTAAAGTCTCATTCAAAATTTATTTATCTTCTCTCTCACCTTAATGATGACAAAAAATTGTTTTGTGATAACTTAACAGGAGAGGACGTGGAAGGACACAGGTTGCATTTTTACCTCGTGCTCTGCAAGTCAAACATGAAGATTCAAAATCTGATGATAAGGCTAATTCATCTAATGGTGCACCAAAACCTAGGAGCAATGCAGATTTCCGAAAACTCCTCCTTGAAAAATGATAGATATATTTTTTGACCTATTATGAGGCTTATACTTACAATTACCTTTACAAATGCAATCTTTGTAATTAATTGAAATTATTAAGTGTTAGTACCTCTATA